TATTGATTCATGTGTGGATGGCAAGCTTTTGATGAGCAATGACGTTGCACGTGATGATGTAACCAGATGCCGTGACGTGTTCTTGTGGGCGCTTTTCTCGCTTTCGACAATGCAGATCGTCAAGTGGGCTTTGTTTCTTTTCGCAGCTACTGTAACCACCTATGCACAGGACTCTGTATCCGAGCCTCCAGCTGAACTGGTTATTGAGACTATCCACTTGCCCGAAGCGTGTACATCGAAGGCTGGAAGTGGAGACTCCATCAAGGTTCACTACGTGAGTGCTTGCAATACTGTCAAATGAACATTATACTGATAGTATCAACATAGACAGGGACACTACATGCAACCGGGGACAAATTTGACTCTAGGTACACCTTTGAGTAATCGTTTTCTAATTCATGAGGGCTAACTCTTTCCAGCCACGACCGCGGAAGTCCTCTTCCTTTGAAGCGTAAGTATACCCTTCGAAACCTTCAATTGCTTGCCCTGACTCCCTCTATAGTTGGTGTCGGACAGGTCATTAAAGGCTGGGACGAGGGCCTCCTAGGAATGTGCGTCGGGGAAAAACGAAAGCTCATCATTCCTTCTCACAAAGCATATGGTAAACCCTTTCTGAAAATTCTCCTCTACCACACTCACATTCTCTTCAAGGCTCGCGCGGCTTTGGAAATATCATTCCTGCCAACTCTGCTCTGGTATTTGAGACGGAACTCGTCGAACTAAACGGCAAATCACACGACGAATTATAATTAGTTCTTTACTACCAATGTCATGAACAAATGTCTATCTGTGTGTTCATATAAGAACATAGATTTTTCGCATTCCCATTTTTCCGCTGGCCTCCGGTGTCGGGTTAACTACGATATTCTTTCGCTGCTGTTCCGCGAAGTAGCTCATGGAGAAATGCTATATAACCCCGGCGGGAGGGTGGCAGAAACCAAAAATCTGCACTCTGGCTCAATGAGGTACGGAGTAGACTTATTGTTGGGAAACCTAAAACAGAAAACCTACGCGCGGTTCGTGATATAGGTCAGTAAGTATCAATTCTGTTCAATGCTACCATGTCAATCTTTAGTAGAGGAGCCTGAAGCATCAGTGCAATTGGCCCATAAGCCAGAGAAAAAAGACGCGCCTTAGCTGTCCTAGAATATAGTATCAAGAACACAAGACGAATGATGAATCCCAAGTTGACATCGATATAGCCAGATCAGCTGGCCTCATTTTCTCAATGAGCTTCCTGTTCCTTCCCCAGGCCAGTGCCAAAAAATTCCAGTCATAATTCTCGCAAGTGATGAAAAGGGTATGGATATTGTTGTGCACTATGCCTGTAGCCCCATACTTTGGCATTGAGGTGCGAAGATGCTGATTCATCCCAAGCAGGAACTATTTTCAATTGTTGTAGACCTCCAAGAAGAAACTTGAACTGCTTACGGTAGGAATCTGCGCTCACTCGGCCCCAAATTCAAGTATCTCTTCAACCACCCATTACACATCAAAGTCATACATCTCCCACCTACCTGCGCGAGGTAGTATAAGTACACAAACCCGCGGCTGGCTCGAACTCCAGAGTGAAGCTGAAATTATAACCGCGGATCCTACGAGTTCATGATATGTTCAAGCATCTAGTATGGCTCTGAAAGTTCTACATTACCATCATCCTCACCAAACAAACTTGCACATGGGAAATCCTCGCTACAATACGGCGGGACGTTCGAGAAAAAAAACCACTCCGCGTGCTCCGTTTCAACGGGAACGAAACAAAATCAATTGAATGACATGACTGGCCATTTCAGCTTTCTTCAAATCTTTGTATCCATCACACAAACGAACTACTCACGCAACCGCGCAATCCCACATGCTCCACCTACCAGGCTCTATCGCTCAAGCATAAATACAAATATTTCGCCGTGCTATTCTTGTAGCAGTTCATGTTTCCATTCTCATGATGAAAGCACGAAGATTGAGCTTCACCTCCCGCCGTAGACGTTCATTTCTCTTCAGATGTGTACTGTCATTTTTTCTCCTTTCGATTTTACATACTGCCCTCCTTGCTGGCTATCTTCATGGCACCTCCGACTCCACCACCTCATACAGTTTTGGCTTGTTGAAACCGTTATCATTCTTGGTCAAGTCCTACCTCAAATTAACCACATCCGTGGCAAACGACTTCCCTGACGAAACGGGGTCAACTCACAACTTCTGGTCTACACATCCCATCACTCGACTCATGTCTCTTGCAGAGCAACGGTTCCGCACCAAACTTAGTAGGCAAAGCAAAACACTTGCAGCAGCTGTAGCTGAGTATCAACGGCGGTATGCTATGCCTCCTCCCAAGGGGTTCGAAAAATGGTGGGAGTTTACGCAACAGAATGAGGTTATCATGATCGATGAATATGACGGGCTGATGAGGGACTTGCAGCCATTTTATGATCTAAAGGGAGGAGGAGTGGAATTCAGAAGGCGGATTGCCGCCATTGCGGGCTTGGCTAGCATTGATTTGGTTAGAGTCAGAGGAGGAGTACTAAGTACCATCAGTGTGCAAGCGGATGGATACATAGATACGGAGGTTAGTGCTAGGGCGAAAGGATTGAAGAGTATATTGGGAAGGTTTGCTAAGGATGTACGTATCAATCTCTTCTCACCTTCATAAGTGCCAATCATTTCCAATTTTCTTAGCTTCCAGACATGGATTTTCCAGTCAATGCCAAAGCCGAAGGGCGGGTCATTGTTCCTTGGGAGAAAAGACTCATGCAGTTCAACTCTACCACGGGTAAGTCTTCTTGCAATCAATGGGTTCTGGTTTATTTCATTTCATTGTTCCCTTCTCGCTGAATCTCACTACTCCTCCCCCACATGTAGATAACAATACGCATATGCAACCCCTTGCCTCATTCAGACCTGACTGGAAAGGCGAAGGCAACGTTTGGGATGCATGGCGGCGAACCTGTCCACCAGATAGTACAGCGAGGAAGCTCTTCAGTAGTATCAGGAGCGGGATGCAAATGTCGGATTCTTCAACACATCCGATACTCAATGCTTATCGTGAACACAATGATCCCTCGCATCCTTATGATTCTTATCATCCTTTCAACCCTGCTAATTTCCACGCTCATTCATCGAGTTCATCGCGCGCCAGCCTATCTTCGCTAACTTCGCCGCAATTTACATTTTCCGCCAATACACCTTACCATGATCAATCATTTTGCGACGAACCACATTTGCATTACATGCAAGGTCATTTTTTCAGTGACTGGAGAACTTTGGGTGAGTTATATCCGGTGATGAGCCCTGCGAGGGCAAGTGGCTTTGCGGATATCAAGGTGAGTGGCCATGTAGGATTTAATTGCATATATGTCCTCATAAAGCCCCTGTAACAGATTCCGTCACACTACTATTACGGATCGACTTCGAGGTATACGTATGGTTGGGACGCAGAAAAAGGTGAAGTAATGGATGTCGACAAGGATGAGGTTGCCTGGGGCTTGGAGAACGATGATACACATTCTGCCTTCAATATCAATGCTAGTAGTAATGGTTTGTCCTTCTCAACAACAAGTTGTTTATTCTTTCTTTCCTAATCAATGCACACAGAACCACTTCTGGAAACCCCTCATAAACTCAACAAGATCTTTTGGCGTGGCGCAACAACTGGAGGAGGGAACGAGCCGGCAGGCTTTGCAGGGATGTACCAGAGGCATCGAGCTGTGAGGAATCTAGGTGGGTGGGAGAGAAAAGGAGTGGGTGACGTTTGGGTTCCAGCGATGGCAACCTCAATGCAACCTTTGCCGTCGTCTTCCTTCTGTTTTCAGTCGTCATTGACTCTCTTAACGTTCTCTCCGTTCTTATCCCTTCTTCGCCTGCTACTGACGAAGGTTGATATTAATGTCGATTCGCTCTATCTCACGACGTTGTCCAAGTCTTCTTTGCGGCTACCATCAGCCCCGGTTTCTCCGAAAACATCAGTCGAAACTGTCGAACTCAGCGAACTTGGTGCTCTCGGTAATTCAGGAGCCTCTGTTGATGCCTCCGGTGGCCTTCGCCACCTGTCCATCTCATACGCCACATTGAACAAGGAGATCATGGATATAGCTTTCATGAAAGCTACAAACCCGGCGCAGTATCCCGGGGGATTAGAGAATTTGATGAAAGATCACAGATTCGCGGAAGGAATCCCGCTGGGTAAGTAGATGCAAGTCGGCGCTGTCTTCCGGGATCTCGTTTGAAACCCCAAATGAATTTAGGCGGGCACTGGAAATACAAATATCTATTAGACCTCGATGGAATGTCGTACTCTGGTCGATTTATGGCGTTCCTTGCATCTGATAGCGTGCCGATCAAAAGTACAGTGTACGAAGAGTTTTTCGGAGAGTGGATAGAGCCTTGGCGAGTCAAGATTCACATTAAGTATGCATGTGAACGATGCTGATCCCTTCAATTTACAGGCTACATTACATTCCTCTATCTGCAGGATATGAGGAGATATATAATATCTATTCGTATTTTTCGGGAATATCGTCTGAGGTGGTTGAGCAGGTTTATGATGCCAGTGGTGGGTGCCGATTCGTCTTCGCAGGGACATTCAACTCATACAAGTTCTTCATTCTAAAATCATCTCTTAGGCGATCTCGAATCAGCAGGAAACTCTAGCTCTACCAGAACCATCAAGCATATACCTGGCGCCCCTGATGGTGACGCCAAACTTCACCGAATCGCTCTCGCAGGGAAGCAATGGAAAAGGACGATAGGGAGAAAGCTGGATATGGAAGGTTCGTCAAAAAATGCGCATGAGTGCGAGAATTCTCCTGAACTTGCCTTTGGAAATTTTTGAAAACAGCTTACGTCTATCGCCTCGCACTAGAATGGGCACGGTTGTGTTCAGATGATAGGGAAGAAATGAGTATGAATAACAATTAGTAGAGAACTACTCAATACTAAGCGCAGCCTCAAATGTTGCGCTCCCCGGTTGCAAGAGATTCAATGGCAAAAAGATCAACGCTTCTTGGACAAGTCCGGATTTGAACCGGAGACCTTTCGCAAACAATTAACTTAACAAGTGCAAAGCGAACGCGATAACCACTACGCTACATGCCCATATAGGGTGCGTATTCAAAGAATCCACATCTCTCGCGTTGTCAAAGATGGGAAATGAAAGGTCGCAATCCAATAACGAATTCTTGAAATCCAAATTACGAGTATGTTGGAGAGCTGCGAACTGTACACGAAAAGACGAGAACAATTTGAAAATGAGGACGAATCCGACCCTTTTCCGAACGAGGATTGGTTTAGTGCTCAGTAAGTAGCGCGTTGTTGCGATCCTCCGAGGATGCAAAGGCTGAGTTTGACAATTTAAATATTGGGGGGTCGTGCGAGTTTATGGCGAGAGAGTGAGGAAAATGCAAAGCAGGCTAGGCTTAATTATTCACTGGCATCTTACCCTCATCGCTGCAACATCCATCTGTTCATATTCATTTGTTTTCTGCGAATACTTATTCTCTCTCTCGATGGCACATACAGCTCATCGAACTCAGCAGTAACAAACTAGAGTCATGAGTAATCTACTGTCAGCCATGCCAATCGATCGCGAACGAGTCTCCATTTTGTGTAAGAACATGGATTTTTTTGCATTTCCCTTCGTTCCGAATCGGTTCCCAGTGTCACTTATAACGCATTTGATAAGCTATCCCTTGCCTGTTCGTTACTCATTGCTGTAAGATAAAGATTGAAATTGATATCCAGCTGGACTACACTATTCGTGGGGTTGCTGTGTTGTGTTGAACAACTGGTACATCCAAGACAGTGCGCACAAATATGACAACAATTTACGATTACACCGTCGTATTCCGACCTCATTCCTAAACTCAAATAGAAACAGGAGTGAATGTGAACTGGGCTTTGGAGCCACTCGGGTTAACGAGGACATTCTGAAGAGCAGTATGTCAATAACGGTGTTCACAGAGAAGTGAGCATGAGGCTCACATTGTTACCGTCAAGGTTCCAGAACAGCTGAGTTCCATCGTTTGTCATGATGTATCCGGTCCAATAGGAGTTGGAAATACTACGAAGTAATGAGCAAGAGTATAATATTTGGTTCGGAGAATAGCTTCACAGTTTCACTCCAGTAATGATCCATTGCGCGGGACTTCCAGAGTTAGCGACTACATTGGTCCCTTGAGCAGCAGGCGAGTTGTTGGTCCTCGCTTGCCCAGCAAAAGTAGTGAAAGCTGTAAGAACACCGTCACCAGAAACTTGCCACTGTTCATCAACGGATAAGTAGTCAGTGAATGATCTCACAGTGATGATAAGGAACTAAAACACGACATGGCAATAAAACTCTGTTAACTTACTACTTGGCTGCTGGACGTATTCACGGTGATATTTCCTCCAGCAGAGGAGGGAGCGGCCAGAGTCAATGCAGGGTTACTGCTAGTAACCTGAATGTTGTAGAGTCCAGCAGGAAGAGCGACAGACATGATGGATATGAAGTGAGCTTTGCTGGCTTGTGCGTTAGTAAAGTGATTGAGAACGATGGCTCGATACTTCTTGAAGGCAGATTTTGCTCAGTATTTATACCTCAGCAATAGCCTCGTACGAATTGGAAAGTATGATAGATTTCGGCGGACTCCAAGTGCTTTACAAAGCCCTCATGCTCCCTTCCCATGTGAGCTGAACATTGGTGACAAGTACCAGTAGTTGACATAGAGTGAATCAACTTCCGTTGAAATTCTGGTCCATGCAAGCTTTCTGTTTTGCTGGAGTACCTGTTAATCTTCGTTCGGATGGAAGACACCACCGAGATTCAGTCGATATACTTGTTGGTTCGGTTGCCACTCCGAGGTAAGCATTGTAGTATTGATAAAATTGATATCAGGGGCTCCGGAGAATGGATGGATGTTTTGACTTCCAAATCCGAGTGCTTATGCCTACAAGATATTGAAACATCAGCCCAACAGCCTTTAAAAAACGGACTGGTCATTATGACTCATATTCTAGTTCAGGTCCAACATTCCATTAACCTCGGACCTTCTTTGACAACATTTACAAACGTGGTTTTCAAAACAAACAAATGAGCTTCTTCGCAGTTCACTATTGGCCTTGGTATATTCTAAGTCATGGTGCACAAATCCCCGAGGACAGCAGGAAGCCTAAGGGCAGTGTGATAAATTCCAATGTTAGACACAAGTCGAAGTTACTAAGTATGACAGAATGAGGCAGAGACCTCCGGGGACCCATTTCCTGAACCTAGATGTTGGAGATAGGCCTTGTAGTGCTGACTAGCGGTGTTTGAGAATGCCGACCTATCTCGCAGGTTTTGGGCGTGCCGCGTTGTCCTAATGATCTTATTAGCAAGTTTGGGAGTGAAAAGGCAATGACTCTTTTTGGGAAAATCTACTCATTAACCCAAAGTGCGTGTATGACTACTTGGTCCAATCCGACGTATCGCAAAAGTTTCTCCGGGTTTAAAGCGATGATCAACTTGCTTGACATGAACTCTGACTATCGTGGATAAATGTGAGGCTCCTATGAGACCGCCATTCGGGGAAGTACGGGAATCTAATAAGGTAATATTGGTGGAGATATTCGATGTTTTGCGTCAGAAAGTTATTTCCCTCCTCTTTGGAGCATGAACAAGGAACTCGGAGTGTCGGGGGTTAGTACATCGGAAACGATACCGAATTCACCGAGAGTAGAAGCTCCTCCTCGTCGACACATGTTTGTACTAATTCAAGACGTCGAACAGATTGATATCGGGGCAACTGCTGAAGTGGGCACGAAGACTTCGACTTCATGTGTGATGCCCCGGCGTGGAGTTGTCACATCACTATCCTGCTCTTCTCAGAACCTAGTCAAATCCAAGTATTGATCTCAGAATGAATCGATCATCTGTGCATATAGGGCTTTCGCTCTTCTGAATATTCCCTCAAGTCTTATAGTTTAAGTGAATTGATTCATATTACCTATTCTAGGCTTGTAAGATGTGCTTTGTACCGTGTGAATCTAGTTCAACCCACCAGTGATTAATGATACTAGGACCGATTGGTCAAAGTAACAAGTGTTGACGTGGAAGAAGATGATAACTAGGACATGCTGCAGTGAGCGTCATGGTAATGCGCGAGATTATGATATCTTACGAAGTCCTTCCGAGTGGTTGAGAAAGGTACTCATCAAACAAAATCATGCCCCTTAGATGTGACTTCAAAATTGGGAGAATTTTAGTTCGATGTATGTACCTAAACTAAGCCATGAGTCATAGTGAGTCCTACTATGGAGCACGCAATCGATGCGCGATAAGTCAATACTTTAACGGCACTTGAGAATCTCGGTGGCATTTTCCGCCCGAATTCAAAGGTTGGAAAGACAGAAAGCTTGCATGTACCAGAAAGACGATATTGATTCTCCAACGTCGCAACTACTGGTTCCTATCGCCAATTTTGAGCTCACATGGGAGGGGAGGGCTTTTGTAAAGCACTTGTCCGCCAGAATTCATGATACTTTCAAATCTGAACGAGGCTATCGCTGAGGTATAAATACTGAGCAAGATCTGCCTTTAAGAACTATCGAGCCACTGTCCTCAATCACTTTACTAACACACAATCCAGCAAAGCTCACTTCATATTCATCATGTCTGTCGCTCTTCCTGCTGGACTCTACAACATTCAGGTTACTAGCAGTAACCCTGCCTTGATTCTGGCCGCTCCCTCTTCTGCTGGAGGAAATATCACCGTGAATACGTCCAGCAGCCAAGTAGTAAGTCAACACAGTTTCATTGTGCTATGTTTTAGTCTCGTTCACTGACTACTTATCCATTGATGAACAGTGGCAAGTTTCTGGTGACGGCGTTCTTACAGCTTTCACTACTTTCGCTGGCCAAGCGAGGACCAACAACTCCCCTGCTGCTCAAGGAACCAATGTGGTCGCTAACTCTGGAAGTCCCGCGCAGTGGATCATTACTGGAGTGAAACTGTGAAGTTTTCCGAACCAAGTATTTTACTCTTACTCATTAGTACTTCGTAGTATTTCCAACTCTTATTGGACCGGATACATCATGACAAACGATGGGACTCAGCTGTTCTGGAACCTCGACGGTAACAACGTGAGTCTCATGCCCACTTCTCTGTGAACACCGTTATTGACATACTGCTCTTCAGAATGTTCTCGTTAACCCGAGTGGCTCCAAAGCCCAGTTCACATTCACTCCTGTCTCTCTTTGAGTTTAAGAATAAGGTCAGAATACGACGGTGTAGTAATCGTACATTGTTGTAAGATTTGTGCGCATTGTCTCGGATGTACTAGTAGGGAACCATAGTTGTTCAACACAACACAGAAACCCTACAAATAGTGTAGTCCAGCTGGAAATATTTCATTTCTTATTTAAGAGCAAATGAGTTACGAAAAGCGAAGGGATATTAGACGCGTAGGAGTGACACCGCACTGGAGGATTGGGCAATTCGGAACGAAGGGCTTGCGAAAAGCATTCACCATATGAGCAAGCGAGGAGCGCTCAGTGGCTGAAAGCCTGGAATCACTCACGTCAGACAATGAATGAGATCAGGGAACTCATCGTTTCTCTATCGTATCGAGACGTCCCTCGCTCAATTTGTCAATCTGGTTTGAACTTTCATTCCAATTTCTATTCGAGGTTAGGAATCCAGAATTGGATACTAGTAAAGAAGCAATGAAGAAAAATAACAAGAAGAATGATAGAAAAACAGAGGGCAATACAGAACAGCAAGTAAAAGAGCGAAGAAGAGAAATCAAATCAGATACAGCATAGCTTGGTGCGTGAGTCGCAATGATGATTGCAGCAGGGATGGACGTGAATTATCAAATCAAGTGGATGCGGAGGCGTATGAACAGGGTGAAGATAGGCGCATTTACTATAGGCATGGTGTAAGTATATCCGTATGGAATTGTATCATGAAAGAGTGGCGCAACCCACACATCCAATGATTGAGTCGTGCTTCCTTCCTCCCTCCATCATGTCATATCCTCCATATCGTTTGCCGTAGGTGTTCTCCGGTACCCAGGGTAGTCTGAGAAACGTAGAAGTAAAAATCTATCAAGATTTCGTTACGGTCACAGGTCTCGAAAAA